CAGAAGTAATCACGACGAAAATTTTAACGAAATTATACATTAAAATCAAGGTACGAAAACAACAAGTAAACACAATGAATCCAAAAACACCGATTCATATGACACACCACACGTATATACAAATAGTACAAACAACCTCGCCGATCGTGTCTTGGTGGAATTCCTTTGATGAATTGCAGGACTTACACCAGTACGCCTACAACCCTTCTCAGGTTGACGATTGTAATTTGTGGAATGTCCGGACACAAACAAGATTAACCAACAATTACAATAATTGGAACTCACACAATTATTTAACACAAACATATGTACAATCAACACATCAAATGTTGTGGATTCTGGCCTGATGAACTACCCTTGAAGAACTGTAGGACTTACAGCAGTACGCCTACATTCCTTCTCAGGTTGATGATACAAGTGGAAGACGTCCGGACACAAACAGAATTACCAACAGCTAGATGACAGATGATATCAATTCAGTATATGCAATATGAACATATGTACAAAATCACACACCAAGCACGTTGGGCTGCTCATTGATGCGCTGCCCTTTGAAGAATTGTAGAACTTACAGCAGTACGCCTACAACCCTTTCAGGTTGACGCCCTAGGTTGGAAAATCGTTGCAGAGTTCATTTGCTGACCTCCTTCTATCAGCTATATCCTCAAATCTGAACGGAAACACGCTCATGTCATTGTATCGTGGAATATAGATGACTAACGACGTATCTGACCAACCAAGCGTTGGCACAGAGTAATTTACACCAAAGATAATAACATTGAAATAGTAACTTGAAACTAAAAATGCCTTTATTCATGCAAGCCAATTTAACAATTACTCTTTCGTTTACACTTGGCTTATTCTCACTTAACTGAGTAATATCTTTCGTCCTTTGAAATGCACCGATGCTATCATAGAGATAGCACAAGACACGTGAGTTCACGGGCGTCTCTGTCATTGTGGATGACAACACTAACGGCGACTGAGTAACACAATTTGATGAACTCAACCGTGCATCAGCTGTTGTTGTTAGACCTTTAGAAGTTTTTCTCACCGTAGGAATATCCCCACTGCTATCTTTTATGATTGGCTGCAGTTCAGCATCAACATCTGTCGATAGGTGGGCTACACGCTGTTCACTTACACTGGTGGTCTCACAAGTATCCATACCTTCTGCAACTGCATTTGCCTTTAATTTGCTTCACGTTAAAGTTGTACACAAATTTTATTCAACTCAGTAGTAATAGTAGGTATTCCTCTCATCTCATCATGGTCAACCATTGACAAAATTGCTTTATCATGGTCGTTATCACAAAAATATTCATTTTACCCCCGTTTGTATGATCAACTTCATCATTTTCAAACTCTTTAATAACAGAAGTAGATAATTTTGGTTCTTTCTCACAAATCCTTAAAGGTTTTATACCTTCACTCTGACTGGTTATACCTTGAAAACTTGTGGAGTCAGAACTACACTCTGAGATTGTTTCTCTCTTCTCCTGCACAAACTGCACTGTCGTCTCTGATACTCTATTCAACAATGGCTCACCAGTTGCTACTTCAGGCTTCTTCATTGCACCATTATCGTCACACAATTCGCAGTCAGAACGTGATGACGCTGATTTCACATTTAGCTTATCACTAAACTTGCTCACTGATTCACAGTTCATCTTTGTATGAACTTCTTGCAAACGTGTAAAACTCATTTTCATCTGTCTCGCAACTTGTAACCTATCTGTTGAGGATGTACCATGAAAGCTGTTACAGTCACTAAGTTCATATTCATTACTAGACACCATAGAGCTTTCTCGATATCCACTTCTCTGAGACCCTTTCGTCATCAATGATTGAGTTTTGCCCTCAGACTGCTCCATTCTAGGGGTGGGATGCAATACACTGGGAAACTTGCTCATGGATTGATTGACAATATCGTTTACCAGTTTCAGAATATCATCGAACTTTGGCTCGATACCTTCATCCTCTATACGGGAGCTTATCTTCACCCACTTCCTTCGCAGTCGAGCAGGTAGGCGTCTCGCTATTACTTCTAGGACGGAACTCGAGTTCAGATCACTAATACAATTCATCGAAATCGATGCGTTCTTGTAAGTCAACAGATTATCCAAAAACTCAGTGAGTGCCTTGGAGTCATCTTGTAGTTGACTGGCGTTACCTTTAACAGCCCCGAATACATTTCTTACAATCATCGAAGGTCTTCCGAATCTTTGACGCAGTATACTCATAGCCTCAGAGTATCCTTCGTTAGGGCGCATGAGCTTGCAGCACTTTATAGCTCTTGAAGCAACTCCAGTGCAATACCTCATCAAATGCATCAACTTCATTTCATCATTTAATAAAAAACCACTCGACATGATTTCGAAAGCGTTTACAAACTGTAAATAGTCATCTGGGTTACCGTCTAAACACCGAGGTTCGTACTTAGGGAGGTTGATATTCCTTTTATCCCTAGACGGCGAAACATTACCATCAACCATATCATGCTTAACATCAAACACATCGTTACATGTAACAGACAAGTCAACACGACTTACTTTCCTGTTTGCTTCCAAGACGCTCTGTCCCTTTGACCCAGGCATCATTGAACTTGAATGAATTCCAGAAACGTTCCGGATAACGCTTGTTCAAAGAAGACTTGACAGGCACCAGGAAGGACGGACGGAGACTATCCAACTGTCAAAAACTGTCAATCAAGTCTCCTAAACCGTTAATGTCCAGTTCTTGCTTCGTTGGGCCTCACGCTGTCCCTCGAAGATTTTCAGAAACGCTTAGTATTAACCGGCACAAAAACCAAAACACCGTTTGGCAACTCAAGAATTCTTTATTCTGACGCCGACATATGACCAGCAATATTGGTTTTGCAGAGTAAGGTCTAAGAACAAATATTACCACAATAAATCACGATATTACTTCTGACAGTTTTTTGATCTTCTTTCTGAACAGCGACCGATGAGACGATGACTGGTGGATTGATGCCTCCGCAAAAGTATGGGGAAGTTGGGTTTGAGCAAACAACCATGAATTGATCGTTCATTCTTCAACTACATTGACAGTGATCTTAGCGAAAAGTTTAAAATCTAACATTTATAGGAACCTGTTATGTTTACGTGCACAATAATGGAACAATTTAAATTTTCAGAAAAGTGCTAACATATGATATTGTAATTTATGACGGGCCTGGTCGTGCCCGTAAAAATGACATGCATTTTATGTAAACTTATCTGTTTATACGAAATATAAACTATTATTACAAAGTGTAAATTTCATTCCGCGGCTCGCTCCCATTTTCTTTTAAGAGAGGTTGTGGTCATAAATACTTAAACAGTTGTTTGTGGCTTCACTTGAACATCAGTTTCTTGTGATCATAATTAATGGTGGTCTGCATTTGACAAATTATTCACTGAATGTTTTCTCAGAACTGATATAAAGTTATTAGGAATGACAAATACGCCCTGGTCATATGATCCGAACGCACGCACAACGTCATGATAAAGTGGTCTGTGACTATTATTTAGGTAAACTGGAATTTTACTGAACATACTAACCCCTTTTTCAGTCACCAGGAAAATCTCTGTCGGTGTGATAAGCAGATGAAAATGATGTCCTGGTAAGTAAAAATAGTCAGCCTTTTGAATGGGACATGTTGTGACAGTCACAGATGGATTCAGACCTAAATAGTTGATTATGGCTACTAACCCCAACCGGAAGTCACCAAATCTACTCAGGTTCTCTGTGGAGGTAGCCTAAGAAGTCGGGAAAGTTTTGATGATGATGGCAGAATGCTCATGTTGCAGAAAGGTTTCTTTAATTGATTTAGGGAATAGTCTACCGTCATCAGAGTAAGAAAAGCACTTCTGTGATTGTTATAAGTCATTGAGGGAATGCTGACATCAGCACCCTAGACACACTTTGTAGCAATTTCAGATCTAGATTCACATGGACATTACACACGGCCCTCACTAGAGTCACCAGTGAAATGTACACCGCACATATATGGTGAGGTTGAAACTGGTAAAATGAATCTAGTCTAACGGCTGTTGCGGTGAAGCGAGCCCGTATATTCTCATTTAAAATGTTCATTTAGAGGCTGAGGGTTTTGACGTTCACCGGCGGCACGATATATACAAGTGCGACATCTAACAGCGACAACTTCTTTAGCATTCGTTCCGTTTAGATCAAAGGCATAACAAAACACTCGAGTTGGTTGTCAAAATTACGAAGTATATTTCTGGACCAAATCGGGGAACGAGGACGGTCGGTTACCTAGCTAGGGATGGTGCACGAACGAGCGAACGTAACAAGGGGCCTGCCAAATGGCGTGGATGCTTGAACGTAAGCCTTCATTTAAATAAGTCGACTGAAACAGTAAGGATCAGCATTCAGTGTTCAATGATTAACGCTTTGGCTTATAATTCTTTGGAATCAACTACCGCTAAAGTAGCATTTATGATTCCTGTTATGGATAACTCAATAGCTTCAATCTCTTCCCCCTATCACAGCGTAGAAAGAAAGATGTAACTCCGAACCTTCAAATTCTGCAGAAGGAACATGGAACTGACCTGTCTTCCTCCCCCCTTTCACAAGGTTAGAGCATCTCGGAAGATGCTGGGAGAGATCTCGAAATCTTTGGACAAGGTCTTTCACTGAGGGGTGCATGTTCTCCCACCCAGTCATCAACTCTTGAAAGCAACTCCCACAAGGAGTGGTTTCTGCGCTCTTATTTGGACAGTTCAACGAGTCGTTAAATAAGTGCAGAAACGCATTAGAGAATAATTAACTCAGACCTGAAGTCTTCTATCCCTATCCGAAATATGTAATCCTCTCTACGGCGGGACTGACGGTGGGCAGAATGGTGCTCATTTATTTAAGTAAATATTCAAATAAGTGTTCTAGGAATTAGAGGCCTCTATTCTAACCTCTCCTGATAAATTAGCTTATTGCAAATATCACTACTTATATCGTTCCCGCCAAATGACTGCAAATTTAAATCTGCCAATCACATGATGAACAGATGACCTACAGGACAGTAGACGTCATATAGCCTATGGCTTCCCTTCAATGCGGTTCTTCAAAAAATTCCAAAGAGGATTACTTAAAGCGTTACCTCGAACCAGTGAGTAGTAAAAAGAAACGAAAAGCTGTTAATGATGTAACAGTGAAGTATATCTCGTGAGTCTTTAGAGTAAAGATGTAAATTCATACATTTTTATAGCTAATTATAACTCTAGTTGCAAACCAACCGTTTTGAAATGGTTGGTTAATCAGTTGATTAAACATTCGAATGGAAATTTATTCCTCTGTATTTGTATACCAAATGCCTTATTTCAAGATAGAATTTGCTGCTTTTGTCATGTTTGTGCATAAATTAATGTTCTGGTCTCTACTGTCTTCACGAAGATCCCTAAGGGGATTACCGTATTAAGACTTAAATGATAGTCCTCAAATTAGTAGTCGGATAAAAACAATTTAAAATATAGTAGGAATTAGTTATACGTCTGGTTATTACTAATATTAGCAGAATCTAGCGGGATCTTTTGTGTTCATGCTGAGATTTCATAAGAACTGATCAAACTGGGCAATAAATTTTTTTTTATTTCTGATTACAGCTTGATTCCACACTGTATTTTTGGCACAAGTATGGAATTTTCAGCGTGGATATCGGTAGCCCAAATTTTGCAGGCCAACCATAGTTATCAGGTGTGCGTCGGCGAGGGCTCGAACCCCGGACCACTTAACCACTTCAGTTTTTTATTTGAAGAGTATATTCTGCACACGTCGCTTTCCCATGGTCGTCTTCCATTTGATAAAGTTCGGAACATCTCAGAGGACGTAGCCGTAGGATTTGTAAGCCAAAGAAAAATTAGATCACTGTGGAGTACTCGTCCACCTACCGATCTATTCCTTCTTGAAACCGACTTCAAAAAGAATTGATGTCTTCCCCATCAACCAACTTGATCAAGAAGAGGTTAGATAAGCACAGATACTTATTTGAGAATGATTAGCACAGACTTGTGGCATTTTATTCTTAAATCACTTCAAACAAATCGAGATCTCTGTCTGTCTGTCTGGATTCAACATAGAACTTGGCACCGAAGTGCAGCAGTTCGAGTTGCCACGTTCCAAATAGCACACAGAGGTAGACAAGAAGATGAGTGGAGAGAATTAATAGAGTTTGACAAATATAGGAGTGAAACAGAATGGGTAATGGTAGAAAGGAATATGAAAGATTACAGAGATTGAATACATCTGCGCCATTGACAACGATTTTGAGCCATGTCACCTATTGTCTCCAGCCATTGATTCCTAGAGTCCCGAGGGCCCCAACCCGGGAGTCTGCATCTCCCTACCTGACTCAGTTTAACTGTCAAGGATTTCATGGATTGATGCCATGTTTTTGTTTGGCCACCACTGGCTCTTTTCCAACCTGAACCTATATCAGCTAACAATGCCCGTCGGGGGAGGCGGTGGTTAGGCATGCGCACCACGTGACCTAGCCATCTTAGTCTATGTAACTTTATAACCTCGTCGATTGATTTTCCCTCTTTGCCCAACACTCTACGCCTAACGTCAACATTACTTATCTTGTGAAACCACCTAACGTGAGACAGAGATCGCAGACATCTATGATCGAAAGCAGTCAACCTTTTCATGTCTTCAACGCGTATTGGCCATGTTTCAGAGCCATAGAGAAGGACGGAGCGAACTGATGAGCAGTACACACGTCCCTTGGTTGATAACCGGATGTCACGCCTACGCCAGAGATGGTGTAAGTCAGCGAAAGCAGCTCGAGCTTTTCGGATCCGTGCTGAGATTTCATCGCCAATCAGTCCGTTGGTGCTAATACAACTTCCCAAGTAGGTGAAGTGGTCAACATGTTCTATCACTTCACTCCCTATCACTAAGTTAGGGGTTGACGTCGTCCAGTCCTGTAGCAGCATCTTACATTTTGCAGGGGCGAATCGCATGCCAAACATACGAAGATTGCTGCTCAAGGTGTTCAGAAGACTCTGCATTTTGTCAGCATCCTCCCCTAACAGGACTATGTCATCTGCATATTCTAAGTCCATTAGATTATTCCCTGGTAACAAGTCGATTCCTAAGTCACTACGTTCAGTTAAGGATACTTCCATTAGCATATCTATGATGAAGTTAAACAGAAATGGGGAAAGTGGACATCCCTGTCGGACACCACTGGTTGTTACTAATTCAGATGACAATTCCCCATAAGCCCTTACACGACTACGTGAGTTTGAATAGAGTGCCTTGATTAGTGCAATGTACTTTCTTGGCACTCCCTTCACAGTCAGACATTGCCATAGTACTTTTCGGTCCACGGAGTCGAAGGCCGCCTTCAAGTCAAGAAATATGACAATTGTTGGACGCCGAAAAGTGTGTCTATGTTCTAGAATCTGTCGAAGAGTGAAGATATGATCTATGCACCCTCTACCTGGTCTAAAGCCTGCTTGATTTTCCCTTGTCTGTTCCTCCCGAGTTCTGCTTAGTCTATGCATGATTACTGAGCCTAGGATTTTAGAGACTATGTTCGTTAGGCTGATCCCCCTATGATTATCACACGAGGACTTGTTTCCCTTCTTGAATATCGGTATAATGAGTGACTTACCCCAGTCTGATGGTACTGTCTCTGATTCCCAGACTTTGCCTAGTACCTCAGTTAATCTACAAAAGTCATCCAAAAGACTGTTGCTTCTTAGTGTTTTCAAGTTAGAATTTGTGTAGTGTGAGTCAGAAAAACAATTTTTTCGATCAAAACAAGCAGTGAAATGTGAAATCCAAATAGATGTATTTTCATAAGTACATTTTCGTTAAAATTGAATAAGAATGTTATTATTAAGAGTTCTGTAGAGATATCACTATTTGTCATTGTTTCGAATGCCTATGCGCTTTAAGTTCCTAGCTACTTGTCTTGATCTGACAGAGGTGTTCATTCCGAAGAGATACGATGTGAATGGGGTGAAGTGGTTAGGACTCTCGCCGACCATGCACATGGTCCGAGGTTTGATCCCCTGCCGACGCACACCTGATATCTACGGTCGGCCTGCAAAATTTGGGCTACCGATATCACATGCTGAAAATTCCATACTTGTGCCAAATATACAATGTGGAATCAAGCTGTAATAAAAAAGATAAATAAATAAAATTTTGTTTTAGTATATACAGAAAGTGGAAGACATGAAAGGCCTGGCTATCTGTCTCTGATCATAGGTGTCTGCGTTCTGTCTCCCGTGTGAAATGGTATAACAGGATGAGCAATATTGAGGTAAGCGTCGAGTGCTAAGTAAGAAGGGGGGGTGGGAAATCAATTGACCAGGCTGTGAAGTTACATGGATTGAAATGGTTAGAACATGTGTTACGCATGCCTAGCCTAGCCTAGACATCGCCTTCCTCAACAATCGGTTGTGTTAGCTGACATAGAATCAGGTTCGAAAAGAGCTAGTGGTAGTCAAAATAAAACGTGACTTCATCAGTCAATGCAATCCACAATAGTTAGTTTAAGCCAGTCAGTCACGTAAGAAGGTGTAGACTTCCTGTTTGGGGTCCTTGGGACGGTAAAAACCAATGGTGATATGGCTCAAAATCGTTTTCAATGGCTGGTAGAGATGCATCCACTCCTTGTGAGTGATAATTCCCAATAAAACTATATTTTTCTTCGATATTACTATTCTTTTTGCATTATATCTGTTATGTTTTTCTTTTTACTTCCTTTTATTGCTTTGTGTGCTGAGTGAAGTGTGGCGACTCGAACTGCTGTACATCGGTTCAAAGTAGTTCTACGTTGAAACCAGTCAATCATTGCACATTGTATCATTAAATACATTCCAGTCAGAGGTTGATATGAACATGTATGTATTGTGTGGTTTTTGTCTGAGTGTTAGAGTTTATTGCTTCTTGTCATCTAGGTGGTTAAGGTGTTTGTTATTACTTTTGTTTGGTGTCATTTCTGTCATAAGTCTAATTCCTCTCATGGAGTAGCATTCGGTAAGTTAGAGTCATTTTTCAAGCATACATGTATTCTGCGATGGCCAATATCTATTTCCAAACTCAATCGTATTGATTCTCTTTGACTTGCTGCTGAATGATTTCACAGATATGGTTAGGTATTCCTATCATTATTGCGATCCATTGGAAAATAATATGCTTCATAAGCATTTCCTACTACTGAGGGGGGTGGGGTGGTTTAATCCATCTATTTAATAATAAGTGGAAGTCATCCAAAGGTGAATGAATAAACAATCATTTCAGGTGCATCACTGAATCCGGTCCATTTACCCACTTATCAATCAACACATTTATTTGATCGCCACTCCATTCGCACGCGATGTATTCGGATGAGTCTGGACTTAGATTTAAGCTGTATAAAAAAACCCTCTAAAGTCATATGATACCTGCTGTCTGTCTGTCTGCTTTCGACATAGAACTTTGCACTGATGTGCAGCAGTTCAAGTCGCCACACTCCATGTACCACACTAAGCAAGAGAAGAAAGTAGAAATGCATAATAGAGACAGTAGACAGGGATATTAGACAAAGGAATAGTAATATATGATAGCTGCACATATTAACTAAACACTAAAGGAGATTAAATGACAAAGCTGCGTTTATCTTTTACATATAGACACCGGATCTAACAGATGAGAGCCCTGAGCAAATCCAAAACACATTCTCTGAGAGTTTGTCAAAGACACTCTTCCAAAGATCTATGAGTAGCCTATGTCCAACTTGTTAACAAATCGTAAGAGTGAAACAGTTTAGTTTATGTGAAGGCCCTCTCCTCCTCCAAGATGGTGCAAATGTTGTAATTACTCTGGCTTAGGCGTGACATCTGGCTATCAACCAAGGGACGTGTATGCTGCTCATCAGTTCGCTCCGTCCTCTGTGGCTCTGAAACATGGCCAATACGAGTTGAAGACATGAAAAGGTTGACTGCTTTCGATCATAGATGTCTGCGATCTCTTTCTCACGTTAGGTGGTATAACAAATAAGGTAAGTAATGTTGACGTTAGGCGTAGAGTGTTGGGCAAAGAGGGAAAATCAATCGACGAGGCTATAAAGTTACATAGATTGAGATGGCTAGGTCAGGTGGTGCGCATGCTAACCATCGCCTCCCCCACTTGACGGGCATTACTAGCTGATATAGGTGGTGCAGGTTGGAAAAGAGCCAGTGGTGGCCAAACAAAAACATGGCCTGATCAATCCATGAAATAAATCCTTGACAGTTAAACTGAGTCGGTCAGGTAGGGCGATGCAGACTTTCGGGTTGGGGCCCTCGGGACTGACTCTAGGAATCAATGGCTGGAGACAATAGGTGACATGGCTCAAAATTGTTGTCAATGGCCAGCTCAGATGTATTCAGTCTCTGTAATCTTACATATTTCTTTCTACCATTACCCATTCTGTTTCACTCTTATACTTGTCAAACTCCATTGATTCTCTTCCCTCATCATCTTCTTGTCTACCTTTGTGTGGTATTTGGAAAGTGGCAACTCGAACTCGGTGCCAAGTTCTACGTTGAATCCAGACAGACAGGCAGACAGAATTACTCAGTATGAAATCATGCAGATTGTAGTTTAGTCTCTGACTTGCTGTCCTTTTCGTTATGACTACTTTCCCAGTAGACCATTGCTTAAGTTTAGCTGTTATATACTTTATATTTTCAAGTTCATATGTTATAGTTGTTGACATATTCAACTACCCCATCATCTAATTACCTTAGAGTTTATCATCAGGCAGACATTCAGGTCCTAATATTTAAGGTTTGACGCCGATATCCATGATAACCATAGCGACTTGACCTAGTCCACCTAATAATACGTAAATTCTCTAAAACTTTGAACAGATCAAGGTGAAGATACATTTGCAGAATAATTAGAACTCATTACACTTCAAGGTATTTTTTCCCCAGCTTCTGTGACAGTCTGGAAATCAAAAAGTTATTCTAAATAACTCTTTAGTGACTATGAGACATAACCAGTGTAAGGGGAAGATATGAAAAGGCTAGACGTATCCGACCATAGTTGTTTGCGTCCTATCTCATGTGTTAAGTGGTGTAATATGATGATTAATATTGTGGTTATGTGTAGACTGTTAGGTAAGTAGAGTGAAGCTATTTCGATTGATACGAGTGGAATATGGGGTTTCGACCTTGAGCTTTGAAATTCCAGTAGCTATAGGGTATTTTACGACGTGAGACTGCTAGCCACACATTCAGCCCTTTTTCTTCATAGAGCTTACTGTCATATTAATATATATATGTGTGAAACTTGGGCACTATGGCGGTAAGTAATTCCATATTAGTTTGTTTATGAGGTGTATCACACAGTGAAACAGTATTATTTATTGGATGACGTTTCGAACGAAATTTATTGTTCATAATCATGTCAATTGTAATCACACGACTTTGAAACTTGAGTTTTATAGTTTTCTTTGTTCTCTCCCATTTGTCGTCGTTGGGGTAGTAGAATTTTTCAGATGTCTGGGTGAACAGGTATTGAATCATTCCTATTACATGTATTTGCAGTTGATTTGATAAACAAAGCTTCACTTATTAATCTCTCCCTCCACCCTGTGACATTAGATTTTAAAACTGTCATCCTATTCCATCCTAATGCATGGTTGTGTGTAATTGCATGTAGTGAGTTTTATAGCTGAACTATTCTCTAGATTACTTATCTTATTTGGGTCAACCAATCTAGATTTTGCCAGGTTTTTATGCTAGGCTAGTCTGACTGCCCCTGTTCTACTACTTTGACCTGACAATCATTGTAGGCAGGGTATCGGTTCTAAGTTTTATCGTAGATTAACACATTAGTTAAAGAATAGTTGAAAACCAGAAGAAGGTACACTGGAAAGCCGTTTCGTCCTATTTTGGAGCCCTTCATTAGCAGTATTCACTCATAACCTCACCCTAGGGAATCGAACCCAGAAACTTCAGCTTACAAGGCGTTGAGTGCAAAGACAAGTACTCGGTAGTGATGTTGACTGGCGGTGGCACTCTGCTTATCACAAATTGACAGAAGTTAAGATTCATAGATCACTGAATTTCGTCCTAGTAACTGCTTACTTGGCTGAGTACTCATTCACTGAAGAGTTCTAAACCAGGACGAAACAGACCCACACCCCAGTAAGTAAGTACCCTATAGTTCTCGAGCTGATATTAATCTGTGACTCAAAAGTCTTGTTTCTCTTCCCAGCTAAATGTATGTATATCTATCTGTCTAACTATATATGCATCATTTTATTTTGTTCTTGTTGTTATTATTATTATTTGTTTTCCAGTGGTGATCTTCCTGAAACCCTAGATGCTTTCTATAAATCCGATCCAGATAGTTTTACCTTTCCAAGTATTCCAGATCACGATGATAATGATGGTGGTGAACATCACCGGCAAAAACCAGCAACAATTGTACGACAGACAGCCCTCTTGAAAAATACTAAAGCACCAAAACCACTTGACAAGTCGAAAAAAGAGGCTGAATTAGAAGCGAGATATGATGTATGGAATAAAGGGTAAGTTGTTTTATCTTGAATATTGATTGTTTTAACCACTTCCACCGTCACCCTTATAGTATTAAAACGCTAGAGGAAACGTATAATAAATTAAAAGAACAAGAATATGAAAGTTCTAAACCTCTGGCAAGATATGCTGATGATAAAGATCTGACAGAACACTTGAAATCACAAATACATGCGGAGGATCCTATGGCTCAGTATTTTGCAAAGAAACAGAAGAACAGCAAGAAGAAGAAACACGGGAAGAAAAAGCATAAAGGTACGTGAAGCGGAGATAGTATGCTTTTGGTTTCTCTCTCTCTCTCCTCTGCTCTTTCCCTCTCTATTTCCAACCAGTTTGCTTATAAACATAGTAGGTGTACGTTAGATGCCGCTGTTGTCCTGCATCATAGTATAGTCTCTAGTTTAGATAAAGGAACTAAATACGTTCGCTATGCCTTCCTTGATTACACATCTGCATTTGACACTGTTCCCAGGTCTCTCTTGCTAAGTAAGCTTGCTGCAATACAGGCTGAGAGCTAGACAAATAAGTGGCTACATTCCTATTTTTTTGATAGGAAGTAGTACACCGTCTACAATGGAAAGTCCTCCACTACCTCACTTACTTTAGCTGATGTTCCTCAAGGTGCTGTTCTTTCTCCTTTTCTGTTTTCTTTTTTCTTACATGACTTGCCCCCCCATTCTGATGTAGCCACTTTTGTTAAGTATGCTGATAACCTCTCTATTTCTATGCCTGTCAACCAACTCTCAGTCAGATTGTTCCTAATTAAATAACTTTCTGTCGGAAATTAGTCAGTGGGCCTCTTCAAATGGTCTTAAGCTAAATCCGTCTAAATGTCAGGTAGTCGATTTCACTTTCAGACATAAACGTGACCTACAACAACTAGTTAGGTCACATGGCCCCACTATCATTGACGGCATAGAGGTTGAAAATGTATCTAACGTCAAGTACCTTGGTCTGAGTTTTTCCACCGATCTTTCCTGGTCTTCCCACATCTTGCAGTTACTAGAAAGATGTTTCGCTTAACGTTCTGCATTAGGAAATTTAGGCAGTCTGGTATAAAGCAACCTTTACTTTCTCAATTTGTAAATTCTTGTATTCTACCCATCCTCCTTTACTGCTCCCCATTAGTCTTTCCTGGACTACTTAAGAAAGACTTTGCTTTGCTGAGAAGGGCAGGCACTAAAAGCCGTTAGTAGGGCAAGTGGGATATCGTTAAGCCAACTGGTTAACACTATTGTAGATAGACATATAATGTCATATGGGCAAACTAGCGAATACAATATTGTCAGACCCCGTGAATCCTCTCTATACTCAGCTCTCTCCTTGCATTTCATCTGGTAGAACAAGAAGCAGCTATAGGAGGCTATATGCTAGGACTACCAAGTACAAAAACTCCACAATACCATATCTGGCACAGCTGTTATGCGATGAGAAATCCGTTAGGTATGACACGACCAGCTTACTGCGGCACTCTAACAAATAGTCCCACTAGTTTTTGTTTTCCTTTCCTCGTTACTATTACACTGTTGTTCTCGTCTTCTACTACACACTAATTTTATATTTCATATCCTGTGGTGCATTGTTTAAAATGTAAACGCTACGCTGTTTCTTTTTATTTATTTATTTATCTTCTTTTTTGGTTGTTGCTTTTTGATTTTAAAAATCTTATAAAATTTATGAGGTAATTAGATGCAATATATTGTAATGCACGCTGAAAATTCCATACCTGTACCACAAATACTGTTTGGAATAAAGCTGTTATTATTATTAATATTATAAATATATACATCGTAATGGAGTGGTGTCTAAGGGCGGTGGAGACAATTCACTGTCTGGGTTAACTAAGGTATATTTGACAGTGTCTGGGAATCAGAGATATAGACCCGTTAGGCTGGCGGAAATCATTGATTATCCCATTATAATAGGAAGAGGGAGACAATTCTTCCTATGATAATTAGAGAGGGATTAGCTTGACTAATATGGTATCTAAAGTTCTAGGCTCAATAATCATGTGTAGATTAAATGTGGTGCTTGGGAGGAACAAATACAAGAAAATCAGCAAGGCTTTAGACCAGAAAGAGAGTGTATGGATCATATCTTCACTCTCCAACAGATTTGGGAACATATGCATACTTACCGGCGTCCAACATTCGTCATATTTCTTGACCTAAAGACGGAATTCGATTCTGTCGACCAAGAGGTTCTCTGGCGGTGCTTGGCTGTAAAAACAATGCCGAGGAAATACATTGCACTGATTAAGGCACTCACTCTATTCGAACTCATGCAGCCAGGTGAGGGTTTACGGCGAGTTGTCATCTCAAGTGGTGACGACTAGTGGTGTCCGTCAAGAATGCCCATTATCTCCTTTTCTATTCAACTTCATTATAGATGTACTAATGGATTTAACCCTAAGTGACTTCAGCGACCCAGGGATTGACTTGCTACCAGGGAATAATCTCGTTGACTTGGAATGTGCAGATGATGTGGTCTCCCCGCCTAGGTGAGGTGAAGACGCTGACAAAATAGAGCAGAGTCTTCTGAGCACCTTGAGCTGCGATCTACGAATGTTTGGCATGCGATTCTCTTTCGCCAAATGCAAGATGATATTACAGGACTGGACTGGACTACATTGACTCCTAGCTTAGAAATAGGGAGTGAGGTGGTTGGTGGAACACGTCGACCGCTTCACTTATTTGGGTAGTTGCATCAGCCAGTTCCATTGGGTTGATGTCTGACGAAATCTCCGCACGGATACAGAAGGCTCGTTCGGCATTTACTGGCCAATTTACGCCATCTCTAGTGTAGACGTGATATCTAGCTGGCTGTCGGCCAAAGAACGTGTTTACTGCCTCAAAAGCAGTTTGTTCTGTCCTCCTTTATGACTGTGATTGAAAAATGGTCATTGAAAGTAGAAGACATGAAAAGGTTAACCAGCTGTCTTTGATCATAGGTTTCTGCTGTCTATTTGAATCCCGTGTTAGGTGGTGTAGTAGAGTGAGCAACAATGAGGTTGAGCTTCGATCTAGTGTTAGGTAACGAGGGGAAATCAACCGAAGAAGTTATTTTTTTTATTTTATGGTTACAGCTTGATTCCACACCGTGGAGTTATATGAATTCAGAGGTTTGGTTAAGACATGTGTTACGCATGCTTAGCCTAGCCTAGCGGTTGCCTTCCCCTAAGTGAATTGTTGACTCACATACGATTGATCAGGTTGGTGAGGAGCTAGCATGTGGTGGTGGTGGTGGTGATCAAACGAGAACATGGCTTTATAAGTCAATGAAATCCACAACTGTTATTTTAAGCCAGTCATTTAGAGAAGTGTTTGTTAAGGTGATTGTTGAGGGTCCCCAGGATAGTAAGAGCCAATGAAGACTGAAGACAATCGGTGATATGCTTGAAAGTCGTTGTTAATGAGTAGCGCAGATGCATTCACTCTTTGTGATTTGTCATATCCATTGAAACTATTATTCTTCTTCCATGGAGGGAATGTGTCAACTGGAAACTACTGCACATCTGTGAAAAGTTCTACGACGAAACTAATTCGTCCGTGTATCAGTGATTGTGTAATTAATGTTGGTTTGTAACGAAAATCAAACAAATACAAATGTACCACTGATGGAAACAATTGATATAATTTGTAAACAAACGGATCTACTACCATTACCGGAAACAGAGATGAAGCGACTTCTACTGCTCTGCACAAAAGATATACAATTCAAATTCAACAATCAACTTTACCGACAAACCGATGGGGTCGCGATGGGTTCGCCTCTGGGACCTATCCTGGCTGATATCTTCATGGGCTACCTTGAGCAGACACAACTAAGTTCTGCTATCAATGGAACTACCTACTATCGCCGATATGTTGATGACACATTTGTTGTTTGCAACGATATGGATCACGCATCGGCACTATATGATCGCCTAAATGAGATACATCCAAATATCAAATTCACCATGGAATATGAACATAATAATGAGTTCAATTTCCTGGATCTAAATGTAAAAAGAACAAACGAAGGCACGGTCGAAAAGTCCATCTATAGAAAAGAAACCTGGACTGGACAATATCTTCACTATAACAGCTTTTGTCCCATAAGCTATAAACGTGGATTAGTGAGGACTTTGTATGACAGAGCCAGAAAGCTATGTTCACCAAACAGGGTCGAAGAAGAATTAGTTTTCGTCGAGAAATGCCTAAGGGAAAATGGATACCCTAAGGGATTTATTCAGAAGTACAGCAGAGAAAAAGATGAGAAAGAAAAGCATCCAACTGTAGAAAAGAAAAAAGTGTTTATCTGTCTACCATACAAAGGAGATGCAGTGTCACAAAAGATTGACAAAAGACTGAAAGGTGCAATAAATAGAAGCTTCCCGGCAGCAAAACTCATAACAGTATACAGCACCACTCCTTCTTTAATCCACTCAAAACTGGATAAATACCCTGCTGATGTCACCTCCAACTGCGTTTATGAATTCACGTGCACTTGCGGGAGCAAGTACATTGGAAGGACAGAAAGAAGGGCTTCTATCCGGTTTTCTGAACATATTCCCAAAAACCTGTGCCTGAAAGGAAGCAGATATTCCCAGAGTGCAATTACCAGACACATTATTGATACCGGACATCTCGTAGAGATTTCTAAGTCCTTCAAAATATTAAATAGACAAAGGACAGCAAATTTACTACGATTTGCCGAAGCAATCGCAATCAAAAGACTTAAACCAGACTTATGCATACAGAAAGAGAGTGTGATTAACCTCTCACTCCCTTGGTAACAGAATTTTGATTTTGATTAGTCATCTAATTCAGTGATCTCAACTCACTGAACAAATCTTAATCTCATAAACTGTAACCGTTTTTGTCTTTTTGAGTTGCTATGTGAACCTACAAGCTAACACTGTTCTGTTAATCAATTTTTTCTGTTTTCTCTCTTACCCCTCCCCCTCTTTTTTTTTGATTTTTGACCTACAGCTTGATTCCACACTGTATTTTTGGTACATGTATGGAATTTTCAGCATGGATATCGGTAGCCCAAATTTTACAGGCCGACCTTAGATATCAGGTGTGCGTCGGTGTGGGCTCGAACCTCGGACCATGTGCATGGTCGGCGAGAGTCCTAACCACTGTGCCACCGACGCACAACTTTAAAAGCGTATAAATTGATGATGAGAACTTAAACTAAAAACATTGTAATGCTTTCATTTAGATGCGTCAATTTTTATAATATCTCTTTTCTACCACCACTCGAACATTAAAGTATGTTATTATCATCTATATAACCATTGCAATTTCAGGTAGTCTGCAGCTGATGAGAACCTGTGAAATAGAATGATATCATTTTATACTGCAAATTTTGTCTTTCTTTCTTTATCGAAATTTATCAAGGGAACCAAATGTATGAAAATCAAACAGTCGAAATATTAACCTAAATATCAATCTTCAAGTCATTATTGACTACTGGTTGGATTTCCTGAAGCTGTGCAATAGAGGAAGTCAGGATCAGTGTGCTGCACTATGTTACGATAATGAGGGGTGGATGGTAATCGAAGATGCATTGGTTTTGGGGGATAACGATGCGCTTTTCCACAATCATAGAAAGTACTCATCAAGACATTAGAGCGAAAAAAGCAAGGGGCCCAACAAACAGATAGCTTGGCGGCGCTATCATTCGCGAAAGCAGCTGTACAACAGCATTTATATACTTAAGTTCACACACACACACAATGATTATTTAATTCCATATAATAACGAAGTGTCCACACCCTGCTTCTAAGCAATGTAAAGGATAGACTTCAACATATGACCAATATTACAGTTCAACTGCTCGTTTGAAGTTAGGTACGTATGGGTCGTTCGATGCGTGTCCTATCAAAACGTGTTAGAGAACATTACGCAGCATGGTTGCAAAGAGGAGGCATTGGTTCAATTAGAAGCGCTATAATTGTGGACACCTTGTCAACACACCCCTGTCACACCATCTCAACTGACTCATCATTCAGAGTGATTCACAATATTAGACGAAAATCTATCAAAGGAAGTGTGTTTTTGTGACTTCTTTGTACTGCAGAAGAAGCCCTGATCATCTCATATGCATTGAAAAACCGGAGCTATGTGTTTAGAAGAAACTAATCTAACCTCTATAGTTTATCTTAGATTTAGTTCATTTGGTTTCCTTGGGCTTTGTTTTTTTTCATCCGCTTCATTATTTTTCTTTCACATTTTCTTTCAGTTTTTAAAATATTATTCTTTCAACTTGTTTCTTCCATGCTCATCCCATTCATACTTTTATTCGTCAAACATTATTTTCTAATTCTGTATAATTTTGTTCTCAAGTCCCTTGTTACCTATATTCACACCCTCGAACTTTCATATCAAGTTAGCCATTATTATTTCAGTTATCACAGAAAATGCACATTGGGTCATAGGAGTTATTTAAGGAGACAATTGCAGCGACGAAAATTTTCTTTCCGACGAAGTCATCATCTAGGTAGCTGTACATTCGTGTATTTATATCAAATGGATGAGAAAGTTCCAGAATAATATCCGGTCAAGGGGCAAATTAATTAAAATTAAAATTAGGAATTAGAATGCCATAATAAACAGGGGGATGGATAAAACAAACAAAGCAGCATCATGATAGCTAAGAAGATTGACATATTGTACAGTTGGCGGTTAGAAATGCAGAAATAGCAAAATAGATAGACAGGATGTTTGGATAAGAACTAATGTGATGAATAATTGTTTATGCAATCAGGGATTAAATATGTAGAAATAGTAAAATGACAAAATAAACACGAAGTTCAGGTATGAAAATATGGTAGTGTAAACAGGGATTAAGAAAAACTTAAAATAACATGAATAAAAAGGAAGTTTAGGGAAGAAAGGCGATGGGATGGTCATTACTAAAAAATTACCTGTTTATGATGGCCATGGCAGGGACAAGGGTTGGACGTATTTCTTTTGGATACAAAGCGTGGGTTTGAGCTTTCGTATAGCTAGCGCTTCGGCTATGCCCAAATGTCCTGATTTCACTCCCTTTGATAGGTTTGATTGAATCTTGTATATTACTTTGAAGGATTTTTCGAAAGGTGCTGAATGTCCTGAATTGATCAGGTGTTCCGTCACTGAACTCTATACACGTTTTTGGTCTCCTTTTACTAGCCAGGCTGGGTAGTGTTCCCGAGCGCGTTTTTCAAGTTGGCGCATGGTACGGCCAACGTACTCAGCTCCACAAGAGCAAGTAAACTGGTATATGCACGTTGAGGTGGCCCAATGCGACAGCTTGTCTTTCGCGTTCTGGCTGGACAGTTCCTTGCAAGAAAATGTCAGTCGTAGGCTGGCGGCGAAGTATATTTTCTTCAGAGATTGGGAGAGGCGTTTACGAAGGATTTCTGCTTGAATATCACCTTTGAATTCTAGATTAAGCAGAAGTATTTTCTTTGGGACGGATTGAACTTGTTCGGAAGTCTTCTTAGATTTGAGATTTTTGTCTATAAACCTGGGCGGGAAACCGTTTTCCATCAGGGTTTTTCGAAGATTACGCCATTCTTCTTCAAGCACTTCCTCGCTGCATATCTTGCGAATCCTCGAGGAACAATTATTCATCACATTAGTTTTTTGTCCAAACATCCTGTCTATTGTTGTTATTTCTACATTTCTAACCCCTAATTGCACAATGTCAATCTTCGTAGTTATTATGATGCTACTTTGTTTGAGTTTTATCCGTCCCTCTGTTTATTATGGCATTCTAATTCCTAATTTTAATTTTAATTAATTTGACCCTTGACCGGATATTATTCTAGAACTTTCTCATCCATTTGATATAAATACACGAATGTACAGCTACCTAGTTAATGATTTCGTCGAAAAGAAAATTTTCTTCGCTGCAATTGTCTTCTTAATAAATCCTATTCCAGGTATAAAAAATAGCTGTTATCTCAATTTGTTGCTATGCTCATCCTGTTCACACGCGTATTCGTTAAAAAGAACAAAACCTTTTTGACATATAACGCAACTTTTTCAAGAATTGGTTTTATGTAGGGATTCTATTTGTTTCATTTTGAACCACGGATGGATATCAGTTAGAGAGCCATTAAAAATGAGCACTGAAGTATAGGATAGCTGGCTGTTTTGTCCTAGCTTGGGACTCATCGGCAGTATGTGCACCCACCACAGGGGGTTTGAACCCGTGACCTTCTGGTTATAAGGCAAGCTGGCTCGTATACCATTCAGTCACTGCGACACGGTTCACGAACTGGTAGAAGTTAGAATTCATGGTTGGTTGGCCTATGAATTGCGTCCCAGTGGCTGAATAGTATACGGTCTTGCCTTGTAACCAGGAGGTCCTGGGTTCGAACCCTGTCGGTGGGTGTTTACTTATGATGAGGCGAATAATGCTCAGGAAGGCTTCATTTGCTTTTGGAAGTGTGTGTGGGTGGTTGTTACTTCCCGGCTGTCCACACACCATGGAAGTTAATTGATTCTTCGGGTACCTGAAACAGAAAGAGGGTTAGTGTTGCGTGACCACAGAGCCCAGGGGACAACTGCTTGAGCCAGGCCGGTTACACACATGGCCTGTATGAACTGGTTTCTTGGTTTGGTTCTGTATTAGTAAACTTACCGCTGGTTACGCACCACCACCGTAGGTAGGTGGGGTAAGTCGGGATGTATAATTGTTGGGGTCGACCTTTTCTAACCCCACCTCTCTTTAGCAGAGTGGAGAGATATCATAGCTGGCTGGCTGGCACACTGGTCATCTGAGGGAAACACCTCACTGCGGCTGTCACATCCCTGTTCCCAAGCAGTACGACTTCGCTTACACTAATCCAGTAATTGCTTTTAGTCTAATCGCTATCCTAACAACCTTCGTGGTATGGTATGACCTGCAAGAAAATTGGTTCCAGCCAGTGTAGCTTGTTGGGTCATCGCGATGTGCAAGCCCGGTGACCACCACGTCAAGGTAGCAGCTGATGATGATAAGTCCCACACTATGAAAAAGCAGTCATATATCCAGTACTCCCTGGTTTTCATTGGTTCTATAACTGTGATATCAATCCGTAGTCTAACCTGATATAACGCAACTATTTTCTAATCCTGTTTAATTTTGTTTCTATGACCCGTGTAATCTATATTCACACCTTCGGAGTTTCATATCAAGTTGAAAATTATTTTCACCTTTAGTCTGCACCGTCGTCACTACACGTGCAATTAAATAATCATTGTATCTATGTGAACTTATGTATATATAAATGTGATTGTACAGTTGCTTACGAGAATGATATTCGCCGAAAAGATAGTTGTGTTTGCTGAACTTCTTGATCTGTTTTACTATAATATTGCTATCTCATGAGTTAAGAGAAGTTAGATTTCATGGGACATTGGATTCTAGCCCTTCTCCCCGCCCCCGAAGTGACTCAATAGTCAAAGAGCTTGATCTTATGACCTTAAAGTCCCGGGTTCAATCCCCGACAGTGGGACCGAGGGTATGTACTGCTGAAGAACCTTCAGCTGGCAAAGCGAAACAGCTGATGTTCTATTCATGACGAAATCTGACAACTGACATTGATCCGAATCCCTATAATTTAAATATATATATATATATTTCTTGATTGCTTGGTCCTACATAGGTTCCGATGGTGGATCTCATTCAGAAGGATCAGAGAATAGTAATGATGATGATGATGATGAAGAGGACAGTCGACCACGTTATCAAGGTCCTGAACCACCGCCAAATCGTTATGGTATTCAACCAGGTTACCGGTGGGATGGTGTAGATCGTAGTAATGGTTTTGAGAAGAAAATAGTTGAAGATCAAACAAGACGTCGTGTAGAACGAGAAGCAGCTCAACGTTGGGCAATGGAAGATATGTGAAGTTATTCACTATTTCATCACTTTCTTTTTCTTCTTCTTTTATCGCGTTATCAGCGAATATTGTGTACAAAATGTAAATTTGATAAATATATCTATAAATATTTTTCTTTAATTCAATTTGAACTTTACCGTTAATTGGTTAGGCCAAAGTATTATTATTATTATTATTTCCTTTAATTCCTAGAGAAACATAGGGTTTCAGCCGCGTGTCTCTATTGCGTTCGGTTCTCTGCTAGAGTTTTCACCTGGCTCCAAGTCTACCCACATGCTTTCATCTCCTATTCACGTGACCTCCTCCAAGTCACCGCTTCCCTTTCGGATTCCACTCGAGGACTTGTCTAGGGATATCACTTAATGGTTTCCTCAGAGTATGGCCAACCCACCTCCATTTCTTCCTGCTTATTTGTTGCACAATCGGTTCCTGATGGGTTAGTTTGCTCCCAGAGATCCCTGTGGCTGATCTTTTCTGGATGGTCATCTGATCTTGAGTATTGAGCGAAGACAGCTGTTAATGAAGGTCTATAGTTTGTTTGAGGTGCTCTTTATGACGCTCGAAGTCTCTGATCCGTATAGTAGCGCTGACTTCACATTGGAGTTGAAAATCCGGATGTTATTTTTGATGCTGAGTGCTGTTGACCTCCACACAGACTTCAGAGTAATGATCCTCGCTCTGATATCCTCGTCATTTCCGTCCGCCTGTAGTTGAAACGATGGTTCCCAGATAGGTAGGTGGGTGAAGGAGGTTGTTTCTTTCAGGTTCCTCCCATTTATGGTGATTGTTGTCTGTTGTTGTTGATGTTGGCTAGGAATCTTCATCACCTCTGTTTTATCTATGTTCACTTGGAGTCCTGACTTCTGTTGATGCTTCTTCTGCCAACTTGTTTCTTTTCACTTGCATATCTACCGGTTTGTGGGAAATTAGACATATATCATCGGCGAAGTCAAGGTCCTCCAAGTTTTTAGACCAAAGTGCTAGGTCTCAAGTTGACATATCCGTCTCCTTGTACAGATGCTTTGATGATGTCTCATTATTTAACTTGAAGTAAATTGGTGGATGGTGACTAGTAGCGAAATCCAGGATGATGCGCATTTCCTCCTATTTTGGACTCGTCATCCGGATCTGCCTGTATATTCTCCAGTGAGTGATGTTTGATTGGATGGAGGATTTCATCATGAGCTGGCACCAGTTAGAGAACCACTGGAAAACCGGGGAGTAATGGACAGCTTTTCGTCCTAATTTGGGGCTCTTCATCAGTACTCACCCACCGGGTTTCGAACCCAGGACGCTCTGGTTACAAGGTAACCTCATAGACCATTGAGCCACTGGGACCCGATCAAATAGCCCATGAAGTTTGTGTAGGTTTTATCAAGTGATTTTGGCATGCGTTAAACAGATGAACTGTCCATGCATCGACCCTTGTGTCCTTAGACTGCTCTTCATCTATCAGTTTAACGGCTAGCGGCTGTCAAACAAACTAACTCTTTCCCTTTTTGCTAACAGTCTCACAACTTGCGAACAGAATTGCCTAGAGAACATCAGCATCTCTTTATTGGGGGTAATTTCTTTGTCAATTCCTCGTTCTTTCACAAGTGAAACACTAGTCAGTCTGTTTTGTTCTTGATCGAATTGTTGACATCTACTTCTGCGGTTCTTTGATTTTTCGTCGATGTACTAACTTGACATTTGTTGATTGCTGGTGTGTGTTTGTGTGACTGTCGAACTCATCTAATGTCTTGTGTTTGACACCAGTTCATCATATATATATCCATTGGTCGAACTGTATTCATTAACTTCAGCTGATTGACAGTAACATTAAAGATGCTTGCGATAAACTGAGGAAAACTAGCATGTGCACTGTTTGTCAATCACGTAACCAGCCGAAGATCTGTCAGTATTACTACTGCTAAAACCAAGTGGATCTTCATCTATACGAAGACTTGGGCTGCTGTTGTC